AAAGTGGTATCCCCTGGGCTTAGCCTAAATGGGAGAGGTTTAGACCAAGATAACTTAAATTACTCTGCATAATAAAATACAGGAATTTTTAGCATTCCCTCTAGAGACTGGGTTTGGGCAGCTCTGGTAAGGAAAAAAGAGATGAAAGAAAAGAGAAGGAACCCATGCAAGGTAGTGGCAGACAGAACTAAAGAGAAGGGCCTATGAGAGAGTCCCTGTATTATTTGTCTATAATAATTATCATAACAAATCACCCCAAAATGTGGTGGCCTAAAACCGTGGTCAGCAAACTTCGGCTCTCGAGTCACATGAGGCTCTTTGGTCTCTTGAGTGTGGCTCTTCCACAAAATACCATGGCCTAGGGCCAGGCAGTCTATTTTGAAGAAGTGGCATTAGAAGAAGTTTAAGTTTTAAAAATTTGGCTCTCAAAAGAAATTTCAATCGTTGTACTGTTGATATTTGGCTCTGTGGACTAATAAGTTTGCCAACTAATGAGTTGGCCTAAAACAACAAGCATTATTGTCTCTCAGTTATCATGGGTCAGGAATTTGTTGGGAACAGCTGGCTCAAAGTCTCTCAAAATACTGCAATCGATGTCAGCTGAGGTTATAGTCATACGAAGTCTTAACTGGGACTCATACTTCTAAGATGGCATATTGTATGGCTGGCAAGTAGATGCTGGGTGCAGGTGGGAGGCCTCAGTTCCTTTTCATATGGATTCTCCCAGCAATGCTTGAGGTCTTTATGAAAAGACAGCTGACTTCTCCCAGAGCAATCTGAGAAAGGGGGGAGGGAAGGGAGGGAGGGAGAGAGAGAGAGAGAATGAGGAAACACTAGGTGAAAGCGCTATGCTTTTTCTGTATTAGCCTGAGAAGTCACATATCAATCTTTTGCCATCTTTCCGTGTCACCGTAATGGTGCACGTGAAAGTCCTGGCTGATGCTCTCAAGGGCATCAACAGTACAAAAAGAGAGGCAAATACCAGGTTCTTACTAGGCCATGCTCCGAAGTCATTGTCCGTTTTCTAACTGTGATGAGAAGCATGGCTACAATGGTGAACGTGAAGTCATAGATGATCACAGAGCTGGGAAAATTGTGAACGTCATAGGCCAGTTAAATGACCATGGAGTGAGCAGGCCCAGATTACATGTACAACTCAAAGATCTAGAAAAATCACAAAATAACCCTTTCCCATTCCATCAGTTTGGTTTCATTGTAATGACAACCTAAAGTTTAAGTGGGTATCATGGACCACGAAGAAGACAACGCACAGGAGGGGAAATCCTGGGATTCCTTTTCTAGGGATATAATCCATATGTGCAAATAAAATGCCTCAATGGAAATAAAAAAGTCACGTATTTGTACTTCTGCCACATATTATTTATTATAATAAAAGCAAGTCACTAACTCTCAGCCAACATTTCAGGGGAAGGCAATTAGGCTCTACCTTTTGAATGAAGAAGTATCAAACAATATGTAGATATTTAAAAATCACCACAGTATCCAAGACAATGTGGTCAAAGAAATCTCACATAATAGTGTAGACATCTAGGGTTCAATGTTGAGTTCTATGTTATGATATAATCCTTTCAGGACCTCCAAAGTTTAATAAAAGCCGAAACTGGTATGGCTCAGTGGACAGAGCGTCGGCCTGCAGACTGAAAGGTCCCGGCTCGATTCCGGTCAAGGGCATGTACCTTGGTTGCGGGCACATCCCCAATAGAGGGTGTGCAAGAGGCAGCTGATCGATGATTCTCTCTCATCGGTGTTTCTAACTCTCTATCCCTCTCTCTTCCTCTCTATAAAAAATCAATAAAAATGTTTTTAAAAAAAAGTTTAATAAAAGCTGATAACACTAAGCCAAAGTTAGAGAACTTTGAGGAATGAAGGCATAGCAGTGCAAAAAGATGACAATTGTGGGAGATAAATTAACAAGTAGGATAAGTGAAAATTTGAAAAAAAAAAAGTTTAAACTTAAACAAGCTTTCACATTTAGTACAATAAAAAATACTTGATATATGCGGGGGAGGGAGGGAGCCAGAAAGAAAGAAAACTTGACAATCGCAGGAGATCAATAGTCATTCAGAGAAGTGAAAGGCCTACTTCAGAGGTACCAGCAGGAAGGCAGAGTGCAGTATTGCAAACTCTAAAATGTCCCTGGTACTTGGGAGCCAGGCAGGAGGAGAAATGTACTGAGCCCCTCCTCTGGGAATCCATTCTAATTTTATTTGGGTGTGAGGAAGGTGCCTTGAGCATTTGAGGATTCTGACTCCACCCCTGCTTCTAGGCATGGAACATGTAAGTCAGGCCTAACATATGAGGCAAAATTCCATTCCTTGGACACAATTATTTTTTTTTAGGAGTGGGCATGTAGCTGAATTCCAGATAGAGACATATGAAAATTTGTTTTTCAACATTTAAAAAAAATCCTCACTCAAGGTATTTTTCCATTGATTCCCAGAGAGAGTGAAGGGAGAGGGAAAGACAGAGAGAAAGATCAATGTGAGAGAAACATCGATTGGTTGCTTCCTGCACTCTCCCTGGAGCCTGTAACCCAGGGACATGCCCCTGACCAGAATTGAACCTGGGGCCCTTCAGTCTGCAGGCTGATGCTCTCTCGAGATCAGGCACATTCAGGGTGGTATGACCATAGACAATCCTTCCTAATGATGCTCTCTCCACTGAGCCAAACTGGCCAGGCCAAAGATACATTTACTAGGGCAAATACAAAGTTTATTTGCTTTTCTTAGAGAATGCATGAGGGAGCAATTCCCCCTCTTTCCCCACCTTCCACTCCCTAGATTCTTAATGACATGCATGGTTAAGTCACTGAGTCCAACCAAACATGCATTTCATTTTATGTCTGGACATCCAACTATTTGAGCTAATATCTTTTATAAGGTCAATATGAAATGAGAACTAGTCTTTCAACATTTTGTATGTTTGACAATTTTTACAATTAAACATGGAGGGAGTGGAGAACTACATTTAATACTATCGACTACCAGGCTGGAAAAGATTAAACTGTTTGATATGCATTATGTTAGTAAAGGGATCAAACAAACTAACCAAAAAACCCCACTCTATTCTTCCAGATCCTCAGGTCCAAAATGTTGGGAGTTATTCTTAATCCCAGCCCCATGTCCAGCCCAAGAGTAAAGCCTGTTGACACTGAAAGGTTAAAGTCGGTGATGTGAGGACAAACTAAATAACCTCAGATGGTAAGGGAAATTGAATTTAAGGAAAGGGGGTTGGAGGATGGGGATATCCAAAGGGAAGGGCTACACAGCAAGCACTGAGCCAAAGGCTATTGGGTCCGTGATGGCAGCAAAAATATACTTAGGACCGTGAAACAAGGAAAGGGTGTGGAAAAAGCAACAGGAAAGACTAGGCTAGCTGCTTTGGCTCACTGAAAAGTCAGAAAAAAGGGGGCCTTGGAGACAGGTTCAAGGGGGTAGCTCGATGCCCATTGTTCCCCTGATTGCAAATCTCATAGGGTCTCTTAGAAGGTTGGGGGTATATGCCTGTGGGGGAGGAAAGGGAGAAAGGAATGAGAGATTAAGGAGGGGTCCACAAGTCACTTTCAGAGAAGTTGCAAGCAAAATTTTGTGTGTGCATGACAGGTGGGAGATGTTTGGGAGGGAGGGGGGCGGGAGACAAGGATTTGTAGCTTCATTATTGCCCAAAAGGTCGAGACTCAAAAGTCAATAACCACTGCTTAAGAGAAAGAAAATATCAGTTAAAAAAAGTTTAAAAAACAAACAAACAAAAAACCCCCCGAAAGGCCCAGAGAAGAGTTACGTGTTAGAAAAAGGAAAACCCCTCCCTTATTGAAGAAGAACTACAAAATTACATCATCAGCCCAGTAAAATAGGGAGTAAAGGCAGCGGGAAGCAGCGTGGAGGCCTGTGAATGGAGACTGTCAATGTTAGAGGGTGGAATGTGGGAAATGCCCGTGTTTCTCAACAGAGCCTGTGTAGGTTTGGTGCAAAGTCAAGGCCCAGGAGGTGGTGCTCCGGGCTGGGACGGCTGGCACTGTCCTTTAGCCAGCGATCGCCCCTCAGACCCCAGCCGACCCGCCAGGGAGGGAGCGGCCTTTTCACCAAAGACCAGCATCCCCAGGCGGTGGATGGAGGTCACCTCAGGGCGGCAGCGCGGGAGCCTCCAGTATAGCCTCTCCACCTGCTGACACTTCAGAGTCATCCCGCCCTGTTTCGACATCTCTCTTCCCCGCCTCCAGCTCTTCTCTAGGCGCTGGGCTCATTCATTCATTCAACTCATTCATTCAACAACGGTGGGATTTCCTGGGCTACTTCGGCTGCAAACAATGCGCGGGGTGCTGGGTGGGGCCCTCCGCGGAGAGCTTCCGCGCGGCCAGCGGGGCCGGCACTCTAGACCCGACCGGGAATCTAAAGGGCCGCCGCCCGCATGTCGCAACAGGTTCCCCGAACAGATCCGCGAGCCCTGCCAAGCGGATGCCCGGCTCCGCCTCGCGAGTCGGAGATCCCGCGGGAACAGAGCTCTCGCCCTGGACTCCGCGCGACTCCGGATTTGGGGCGGGCGCTCGAGCGCGGGTCGTAACGGCAGCCGTCAGCGGTTTTGACCTTGGGGCCTGGCACAGCTCCCCAAGGCGATCCGACCCCCAGCGCAGAGGGCTCCGCGGCGCCGGTCCGAGGCCGAAACCCGGACTCTAGCGTCCCCCGGCGCTCCGCTCGCTTTTATGTAGCCAATCGGATCCCGGCGTGGTGCGGCCGGGTATCAAGGGTGGTTGAGCTTCTCAAAGTTCTGCCTCAAGTTTCACATGTCAGCCAATCAGCGGCCAATAAACAAGAAGCTTCCAAGATCAAAGGGAAAGGGGTGGGAGCCACGCCTGGGGACGGAAGAGTGACAGGTCCCTGCACGAATAGCGCAGAGATAGTATGCTACGTCACCAAAGGGGCGGGGCTAGTTTGGCCGCCGCGCCAATGACGGGTGGGGGCGTGGCCACGGGGCTACGCGGGAGCGGGAGCACAGGGGCTGGCTGGGCCGCGCCTGAGGCCGACGCAACGGGGCCGGGGGGCGGCGGCGGCGGCAGCGGCGGCGGCGGCGAGGGTGTGCGCCGTGGCTGCCCCGGGTGGATGGAGTTAGAGGGGAGGGGTGCTGGCGGTGTGGCGGGGGGGCCGGCGGCTGCGCCGGGGCGGAGCCCCGGGGAGTCGGCGCTGCTGGAAGGGTGGTTGCAGCGGGGCGTGGGCCGGGGGGCCGGCGGCGGGGAGGCCGGGGCCTGCAGGCCCCCGGTGCGGCAGGATCCGGACTCCGGCCCGGACTACGAGGCGCTGCCGGCGGGAGCCACTGTCACGACGCACATGGTGGCGGGCGCCGTGGCAGGCATTCTGGAGCACTGCGTGATGTACCCTGTCGACTGCGTCAAGGTGAGAACTCGGACCGGCTCCGAACCCAAATCTAGGGCTGACCCGACCCCTGGGGTCCAGTCCGGAGCCAGGATCCAGGCTCAGAGCCGGAGCCGACAGGAGTTCTTTCCTAGCTCTGCCACCAGCACACAATTCGACCGATACTCTCCATGCAAGCAAGGTCCCGGCTGGGAGTTGACCCCAGCCAGGAGCCAGGACCCATTTGTAACCGTCAGTGAGATCTGAATCGGGACTCTGGAAGGAAATTGTGTCAGCCCAAGCCCTGGATCTCAGCTGGCATTGCACAGGAAAATAGGGTGGGATGGGATGAGGACAGGTAAGTGCTACTAACTTGATTAAGGTGAAGCCAGCTGGCCTGCATCAGACCCTGTGGCTGGAGAGGCTTTTACACGCTCCTTGCTGTGTCTCCCCTCAAAGGTGACGGGGCAGGAATCAGAACCTGGGACCTCTCAGCTTGATCCATGAGGGATTGGAAATTATCGTGCAGTCGTAATGCAGAGTACCACACTGGAAATAACGTGGGGAAAGAGGTTTCGGTTTCTCTGTGCAGCAAGCGTGCCACCCCACCTATTTCCTGAACATGCAAACTGAGCTGGGGTCAGGACTGTGTACTGTATGCCGGGAGCACATCAGCTCCCAACCGAGAGAGGGCACTGACAGTGTATTTCTTGAGCCCTCTGGAGTAGACAGAAAAAAAGGGGAAAGTGGCCTAGGAGGGAAGCATTACGGTATCAGAAAGAGGATGTAAGTGTGAAGAAGATTATAGGGGCTCAATTCGAGGGCAGGATTTGGGTGAAAATACGCAGGCTGCTTAGTGAACACAGAAGTCGGGTCCTTCTGCAGAAGGCTGGGTGAAGAGGGGAAACGGGTTATTCTTTACAGTTCTTATGCACGAGCTAGGCTACCATCCACTAAAAACACAGAACTAAATTGAGAAGTACTGGTAAACTTGAGGGGGGGGGGTGTCTCTAGAAATAAATATGACAGAGACTGGTGCCTCTTTTCCATGGTTAAGGGTATGGTCAAACAAGGTCCTGACGGCTCTTTGATGCATGCTTTTGCCTCAAATAAGGGAAATGTTAAATATTATATATATAAGGAGAGTCTCAATTTGAGAAACGTAACCTGTCTCTTCTGCTTTTCCCTGGACCCAGTACCGGTTCATGTTTTCATTAGTAATGTGGATGAGGAAATGGGGAAAGGGCTAATCAGCTTTGTGGAGGACAATGCGTTGGTAAGTAGGATGCTAGTACATTGCAAAGGTAACTCCTAACAGGGGCCATGCCCGAGGAAAGGGTGAATGCCCTTGGCTAAAGTGGACATTAGAATTTTAAATGCCCTTGTCAATGGGGAGGAATAGAAATAAACAGTAAAATCCATCAGAGAGGAGTAAGAAGATGGTTATCGCTCTATCAATATTGACATGTAAATTGGATAACTACAAATGAAAGAGATTCAGACATTTATGTAATAGAGGCTAGGTTGAATGACTGAATGGTCAGGGCTGTATATCCAAAAGCTAATATGATCTAACTGCAAAATAACATCACTATACTTAGACTGGGAGTGAAGAGCAGGGCCTAGGGTGCCCAGTTTCAGGATAGGTATCGAATGAAAACTAGATCAAGGAACGCAATGAAAATTATTTAATGACTTGAAAAATACAATGCATTGTAACTGACTTAGAAATATTACAACTTACTCCATGTATTTACATAATGCTATTGTTGCTGTAAACATTTTACCAATTCCTCTGATAGAAATGCCTCTAGAATATTTGGGACAGGCAAATCTAATGGGGCATATGTTTGTCCTGTGACAAAATGGAATGGAATTTTTAGTAACCGAGACCATTCAGAATCAAGTATGTCAGATAAGGTGGGAGATCAAAATATGTAATACTAATTAGGGTCAAAGGTAAGGTGGAACCCAAAAGCAAGGAGACCTATGAACTCCTAGCCTGAGAAATCCATTGAGGGAACCGCTTCTGAAGAAGAGTTCCAGAAATGTTTTGCATAACCATGGCATTGCCAGGCGTCACTTCTAGCCTTCCAAGGTAACTACAGTTATTTTTGAAGAACAGTTCTTACTCATTTGCATAAGTCTTAGAATTTTTCTTAAACTTAGTCATACAACATTATAGTCACGCCTCAATGCCCTACATTAAAATAAATATTTTTTTAATCAGGAAGAAAAATACACAAGAGTCTTCAAAAACAAAACAAAAAAAAACTACTTTAGAGGAATCCTTTTCATTTGCCATTAATGCTGGGACTTAAATGACTAGAGGGAAGAACTAGGTGAGATCAGTAGGAGTTGGTGTCAGTAAGTATGTTAAGTACTTGTGCAGACATGAAAGTAAAATGCAAACCTCTTCAGAAAAGGCTTCACAGTTCACTTGTCCCTGGCAGCTCTTCTTCCTCTTTACCATAAATGAGAGGTAGTGAAGAAGAGCAACCCAACCGACCCAACCAACCCAACAGTACCCTAAGGCGAGAGGCAGTTATCTGTGTTGGAGCCTCTGGTGCAACCACAGTATTTGCAAATGAAAGCCGACATTGCTCCATGCCTTGCAAACCTGTGTACCCCCAGCCATTTATCTGGGTCAAGTCAACTTAAAATATCCTTGGGAGGAACCATGGGAAGTCAGCTAAGCCTTGCTAGACCTTGTAATTATTCAGCCAACTATTCCCATAGTCATAGGGTGGTTTGAGAACCCAAATAAATCCCCGTTTTCCTTTTCTGGGAGGCAAGTACCAGACTTTATAGGGATAGGCTCTGCAACTCAAAGCAGACAGAACTTCTCAGAACCATCTGGCAAAGTTACCACCAGTCACCAACGTGCCGCTTTTTGATTCTATAAGCAGTGAAGCAAATAATCTACCTCCATAAGTTAGAGGGGCATTTTTTCTAAACTCCGGATGTAAATGGATATCAATACTCATTTGATAGAGATTAAGAAATGGAAACATTGGCGTATTTGATTTTCTTGCTTATAATAATAATAAATATTCAATAAATGGCAGCTGTTCTTATTTGCCGAGCATTATGACATGCCTTATATTCATTTATTTAATCGTTGAAACAACTTCCTGAAGTAGACACCATTTTCAATATTTCACAGATGAAGAAAGGAGGCAAGTGAAGTACTTGTCTAAGGTCATATAACTTAAGTGGCAGTCAGGATTTGAATCCAGTGTGACTCCCAGGCCTTCCAAACAGCCTCTCAAAAGCAGATTTCCAGAACCAAGTAAAGCACAGAATTTCACAAGCACAGAATTTCACAGTGGTGCTGGTTCCTAAACGTGACCTATGGATTAAAAGCTGGACATATAATTATAGCCACAGAGAAACTAATCCTCACTGAGGACATTTTCATTGAGTTTTAGAGACGGGAAAGGAGAAAGGGAGGGAGGGAGGGAGAGAGACAGAGAGAAGGAGAAAGAAACATTAATGTGAGAGAATTATCGATCAGTTGCCTTGCACATGCTCCCTGACCTGGGACAGGCCAGGGGTCAAATTTGCAACCTAGATCTGTTCCCTGACTGGGAATCAAACCCAAGATCTTTCAGCATATGGCATGACATTCCTACCAACTGAACCACATCAGCCAGAGCACGGAGAAGCTTTAAAATGAAAATAACTAAATTAAACCTGATCTATTAGTGGCTAAGGACCAGTTAGTTGCCCATGCATATTTGTGGAATGACATAACAATTTACAACACTGCCATGATCTGCAAATTCTAAGATGGGTACTAATATTTCTGAGAACCATATTTGAATACAATAAGAAGACTATTTCTAATACCTTATAAATTACCAATGGCTTTACATGCCTTAAGTCTTTGAATCCTCACAGCAGCTCCATGAACCAGCCATTCTTAGTCTTATGCTATAGACTGTGCAATATTATGGTTAATATTGAAGCTCAGAAAGGTTGACATATCCAAGACCACACATTTAGCTAAGCTGGGGCTTAAACTTAGGCTTTCTGACTCAAATGTGGCTTGTCTTTCCAAACCACTTATCTCACTACTAGTTCGTTTGGCTTTTCTTCAAAGCCAGGATTTTTATATTGAAGGCTATTAATTCTTAGAGATTTCATCTTTTTCTAAAATAGAGATTTATTGGCCAACACATTTGGGAAACTATATTCATTTTTCTAATTGGCAAGCTTATGCCTGGGTCCTCTTTACAAGAGCTTACTTTCATTGAATTAGAATTGTGTGTTAGGTTTAAATGTGTATAAAATATTCAGAGTAACTTCCCTTCACGTTTCTTGGAGGTGAAGGGTTCCAGGCCTCTGAGGCCGGACCTTTCAAAACTGCCTAGGGCAGCCGTGTGGCTCGGTGGTTGAACACTGACCTATGAACCAGGAGTTCACGGTTCAGTTCCTGGTCAGGGCACATGCCTTGGTTGCAGGCTTGATCCCTAGTGCGGAGTGTGCAGGAGACAGCCAATCAATGATCCCCTCATCATCATTAATGTTTCTATCCCTCTGAAATCAATAAAAATATATTTTTTAAAGTAACTGGTTACCTAAATATGCTATTGACTCCAGTATAGCAGTACAATTTCTGAATGTTCGTTCTCCATACACAAGATCAGTTTCAAATAAATTTATGGAAACATATAATAGTTAAGCCACTGGGCCCAATTTATCTATTAGTAGCCATAGCCAACAAAGAATTATAGCCTCTGAATAATTCATCTGACAGGTTTTATGCCCCTAGGTAATGGTGAAAGATCAGTAAGCACACCCTATATTGGATCAGAATTCCTTTTTGTTTTTGAGAAGTGGGAACAAATGTGTTTAGTTATACCGTGTGTTTTTTTTAAATTAAACTTCCAGTAATTAACCTTTCAAGCTTCCAGTTCTTTGCTGGTAGCAGGCAGGAAAATAGAGGAATAATATAGAGGAATGTGGATTGCTTGTGGCTGACTAGAACCTGTTAATCTGGATTCTGTTAATTCAGTTTCTTTTCTCCCATGCTCGTGAGAAAAGGCATTACTGTTGGGTTCCAGATGGCCAACAGGAAGGTTCAAGCTTTTAAATGCAGATTCAATCAGTGATTAGAATGAAGTAGGAATTTAAACTGTATGGGCTTTAGCCGGGACCGGTTTAGCTCAATGGATAGAGCGTCGGCTTGGGGACTGAAGGGACCCGGGTTCGATTCTGGTCAAGGGCATGTAACTTGGTTGCGGGCATATCCCCAGTAGGGGGTGTGCAGGAGGCAACTGATCGATGACTCTCTCTCATCGATGTTTCTAACTCTCTATCTCTCTCCCTTCCTCTCTGTACAAAATCAATAAAAATATATTAAAAAAAAATAATAAAAAAAAAAAAATAAACTGTATGGGCTTTAGTTATCCCTACTGGCTCACTAGTGGCTGATTTGCTACTTTTTGAACTGGTGCAGACATAGCTAAGATTCATTAGGTCTTTCTTTTATTCATTCAACAAACACATTTTGGGTGCCTACTGTGTTCCAGGCACTAGATACTGATTTTATATTTTGTGAGTCTCTATGCCATCTTAATCTTGAAATGGATTAATAGAAAGATCTTTGAGAGACACAACTTTCAGAGAAACTTCCTCTTTGAGAAGTGTTTCAAATAAGATTAATTTCCCAAATTTTAATAAAACTTTGCCAAGGAATGTCATACAAAGTGACTACTGGGGACATTTGAGATCTTGCTCCCTTCCCTGGCATATGTTATCAGTTGGCTCAAATAAACTCTTATAAAAATTCTCTACAAGCTTGGACATTTTTTACTGGTTCATTGACAGACTCATATACTGGTAAATGGAATCATACAGTATACTCTCTTGTGTCTGACTTATTTCATTTAATATTATGCTTGTTGGATTCATCCATGGTATTACATGTAATGAAAGTTTAAAAAGAAATAAAGTATCTACCATAAACTTTCATTCCAATCTTTGAACCCTCTAGAGCAGTGGTTTCTCTGTTTTCTGACAGTCTTAGGCTCTACAGCAGCAGGGTCGCCTAAGACCATCAGAAAACACAGATATTTACATTATGATTCATAACACTAGCAAAATTTCAGTTGTGAAGTAGCAACGAAAATAATTTTATGGTTGGGGGTCACCACAACATTAAAGGGTTGCAGCATTAGAAAGGTTGAGAACCACTGCTTTAGAGGTTTCAAAGATTGTTTTACAGAGTGATTTTATTCACTGATGTCAGTTTGGGGATTTGATCAATTTAGAATCCTGGAAGCCTCTTCAATTTTAGAGACTAGGTTGATTTCCAACTTCATAGTTTCAGGGTAAACTTTCTTCCCAGGAAATTAGAGCAGCATTTATTAGGAATGCTACTTTTGCCAAGACTTGATCTTACAGCCCCAGCTGCCAATGCCAAACACTGAAAAAGTCAGATTATCAAATCTCAGTTTTATCAAAAGATGAGCTATCATCTCATTAGTCAGTGTAGAATTTGGTCAGGAAGGAGGCCTATGATCAGTCTTCAGAAATGCATCAAGTATGTGTAGACAATAAATACTTGACTTTAGAATCCATTTGTAAAGAGTTCTTAGCCTGAGTTATTAAGGCACAAAAGCCCCTTCTGAAACACAGGCTTGATATTTGTTGCTGGGGCTGTGAATCATTTTGGAGTTCTAGGACACTTACCAAGGGGTGATATCCTCGGGGAAAATAATGTTATTCTGTTCTTAGGGTCATAAATGACTAGAAAAAGAAAGGTCCAATGGTTAGAAAGATCGGATATTAAATTTGGAAACAAAACTGGATGCTGGGTATCACTCCCGCCCGCTGGACTGATGCTACAAAGAAGGTCTACATAATGCCTGAAGCCTGAAAGCTGAGGTTGAGCAAGAACTTGGCATGACTGACATTGCACTTCTTCTTTCTGTAATTTCAGACCCGGATGCAGAGCCTACAGCCTGACCCTGCAGCCCGCTATCGCAACGTGTTGGAGGCTCTCTGGAGGATTATAAGAACCGAGGGCCTGTGGAGGCCCATGCGGGGGCTGAATGTCACAGCAACAGGCGCAGGGCCTGCCCATGCCCTCTATTTTGCCTGCTACGAAAAATTAAAAAAGACATTGAGTGATGTAATCCATCCTGGGGGCAATAGCCATATTGCCAATGGTATTGAGCCTTCCTGTGCTGGTTCCCCCATTTTCCCAACTCTTTGGGCTTGGCTGCTATCAATGCTTTCCAGTCTCAGCATGGTTTGGAGCTGAAGCTTTGGGCTGGGGTAGGCCAGATTATAGGGGAGGGACTTCCAAACCTGATGTTCTCAGACAACCGGCCGCTTCAACCCCACCCCTCCTTTGGGGCACCTCAACAAAGGGTTACAATATCCTCCCTTACCTACCAGCTTGACTCTCCTCTCATCATCTCCCTGGCATCAACTTCTAATGCCCTGGTAATATGGAGACACACACTGAACTACCCCGGTGTATATTTCTTGATAGTCGGGTGGTGTCCTGCTCCTCAGCAGGATCGGAGGTGACCCAGCCACCCAAGGAAGACACTAATGGAGCCCGAGCTCTTCGCTTCACCTTTTCAGGATCCCAACTGACTAGTGGCAGTTTTTGTCATTGAGGACATGACAAGACCTCAACAAGTGAATGGGGGTGGGACCAGGGACTTTTGTATGGAGAAACCAGAGGGTTGAAGTTATGGAAGTAAGGGAATCTCCAGTAACATTCTGGAGATTGAGGATTGTCCAAAAACTAAATTGAGTGTAGAGAGCAGAGGGCCAGGAATATGGTAGTTCAATATGGTAGATAGACAGATGTAAAGATTTGGAGGCAGGTTGGGCTGCATAGGGGCAAAAGGATAGAAAGATTCTTTGATGAAGATCTGGCCACCTGCTCCTCATGTTCTCCCTCCATTGAAGGCAGTTGATTTGCTGGCATTCCTTGGCAGCAGTATATCTATTTCCTATTTGGGGCATGAAGTGAATTTTTTTTTTTAAATAAAGTTTAACTGATTTTAGAGAGAAATCAATTTGATGTTCCACTTATTAATGCATTCATTGGTTGATTCTTTTATGTGCCTGATCGGGGATTGATCGGCGTATCAGGACAATGCTCTAACCAACTGAGCTACCTGGCCAGGGCCTATTCTTGGAATCTTTATTGTTAAAATCTGGGCTGATTTCTTTGATTCTTCCTGCCCTTAGTATTATAGATATGGAATGTATGTTGGTGATCTTACAAAGTTGATGAGAACAAATAACGTTCATTTCTCAGAACAGGATTTTGGGAGCAGTAGGTTCCCATCTTTTGAACTGGCTCTTAGCATTCCCTCACCCCACTGTGGTGTAGCACAGCCACTTCCCTTAACTCTGAGCCTCAGCGAATTAGTCACCCTCTCCAGACCTTACATGTGGCAGTTGTTTTCTCCTTTGCAGGTGCGGCCGGGTGTGTAGCTACATTACTTCATGATGCAGCCATGAATCCAGCTGAAGGTAATAATTTCTCAAACTTTCCCTCTGTGGGCACCTGCATCTGCATCTATTTCTGGTTTGTAGAAGAAAGCTTAGAAATACTTGAGTTCTGGTGGGAAATCTTGCCATGTTATGTTGTCTTATCACTAGAGGGCGCTCCATCCATGTCCGAATTTAGGAAGAGCCCCTTGGACTGGTAGCATATTCATTGAGATTTAATTCATCTTTAGGGCTTCCTTGGGGAAAAAAAGAAATGGCTCTACTTGACCTGTTTCTTGGCCTTCTTGGAAGTCCCCTTTGTAGTGGAATTCATGTCACCTGAAGTATTAGCAGGTTATTTCAATTTTCTTCAAAGAGATCAAGATGGATTTTGACATTTGAAAATAGTGCCTTGTTGGAATAAAGATCATTGAGATAGGAATGAAAGGGTGAATTGTGGAGTTCAGTCCCTGCACGGCTTGGATCTTGGCATTTTAATTTGATGATGAGGTACTCAAACAAATATGAAGGGATAGCATAATTGCCATGTTCCTTAACTTCTAGTTCCTTTGCCTGTCTGGGCAAGGCCATGGTGTGCAAAGGGCCAAAACTGAAGGGAAGATCCACAGAGCTCATACCATGTAGTCTACCTGAGGGAGTAGAAGATACATATTTGGAAACTGAAGCCACACTCTTGGCTAGGAATTTGTTTTCTTTTTGGTGGTACTCTTCTCCTGTGGGAGGAATGACCACCCTCCTGTGGTAAGAGTTAGGTGCTCTTAGTACCTGAGGATGCACTGTGTTCACTGCCACCAAGCCATGTTTTGGGAGTTACAAAAAAAATAACATAATCATGATATAATGACAGGTAAGTACCTATTTCAAGGAAACCCTCTATCTAAGGTGTTATTTAGCTGGTTTTAAAAAAATCCTGCAGAAAGTGGATTAATTATTTTTGGGCTTTTTGCAAACCCTCTCAAATCCCCTTCTCTCAAAGAAGGGAAACCTATCAGGCTGACAACTCACTCATATTTTTTTTCTGTCTCCATTCCACTGGCTGACCTGCTCCCTTGGGACTGAATCTGGACACTGGCTCACCGGTCGGTTGTCGCCGTTTCTTCCTTCTCGTTGATGGCATTGCCAGTGGTCAAGCAGAGGATGCAGATGTACAACTCACCTTACCACCGGGTGACAGACTGTGTACGGGCAGTGTGGCAAAATGAAGGGGCCGGAGCCTTTTACCGCAGCTACACCACCCAGCTGACCATGAACGTTCCCTTCCAAGCCATTCACTTCATGACCTATGAATTCCTGCAGGAGCACTTTAACCCCCAGAGACGATACAACCCCAGCTCCCATGTCGTATCCGGAGCCTGTGCAGGAGCTGTAGCTGCCGCCGTCACAACCCCACTGGACGTTTGCAAAACACTGCTCAACACGCAGGAATCCCTGGCTTTGAACTCAAACTTCACAGGACATATTACAGGCATGGCTAGTGCCTTCAGGACGGTATATCAAGTAGGTGGGGTGACCGCCTACTTCCGAGGGGTGCAAGCTAGAGTAATTTACCAGATTCCCTCAACAGCCATTGCGTGGTCTGTGTATGAGTTCTTCAAATACCTGATCACTAAACGGCAAGAAGAGTGGAGGGCAGGCAAGTGAAGTAGCACTGAATGAAGCCGGGGGTTCAGACACCACTGCTGTGCCCTGCTCACTCCAGCCTCAGTCTCTGTCTCCTGGCATTCTCCAGCCTTGAGTGGAGTTGGAAGGAAAGTAGAAGGCTCTCCCCAGGCTGCTGGTGTTTTGGCTAACACCAGTTACTGCCAACCTCCAATGCGCCACCTTTCCTTCCAGGCCCTAAGCAAGTGCAACAAAGCACACGCAGCACCTTGGACAACCTCTCCATCCTGGGCCTGATGACCTGCTCTCGACTGTTAGGGAGGGATAAGCAGCTCAACCCGCCGATTCCTAATAAAGAAACGTTTAAGTTAAATGGTTTCATTGGGTTTGTCTTGCCAAAGGGAGCTGAAATACGGCAACTATTCTTGACGCATGAATGAAGGGGCCCAGAGGGAAGGTCTATTGCATATGTCTGTATTTGGTTTCTGCTGATTTTCATGGCGATTTAAAACATGGAGGTCCTACTCCCCTTGTTTTAATAATTAGGCTCTAAGGAATCTCCCTGATGGCAGGAACAATGGGCCTTTGACAGATTCTAGTTACATAGGCACTTTATTTATTTGTTTATTTGTTTATATAGCTTTAATGGATTTCCTATTTTGTTTTTTAAGTACTTTTTTTTTTAATTTCAGAAAGGGAGTGAGAGAGAGAGACATCAATGATGAGAGAGAATCATTGATTGGCTATCAAGCCCACAACCCGGGCATGTGCCCTGATCTTGAATCAAACTGTGACTTCTGGTTCAGAGGTCTATGCTCAATGACTGAGCCATGCCGGCCAGACTAAATAGGTACTCTTGATCCCACTATTGCCTTTTCCTGAGTGCAGGGTTATGATGCAGGAAAGGTAGATCTCTGTTCCCATTCTCAGCTCTGCCTGCAGCAGTCTAACTTCCCATGAGGCGCTTTGTTTTCTAATGCAGTTGCAAAACAAGTTATCTAGCAAGCTGCAAGTTGAAGATTAGATGATAAAGAATATCTTACATTTTAAGGCTTTTACAAGTACTTTAACATTCATGATCTCATCTTGCTCAAAATCTGAGAAGTAGGTAGTGCAGGTATCTATTTTATAGGTAAGCAAAGCTCATAGAGGCTGACTTGCTCAAGGCCTCCCAGTAAGTGCAGAATCGGGACCCCAGCCTAGATCTTTTGTTCAAGAAGTAAAGCTAATCGTGCCATCCTGCAGACAGGAAATGAGCAGAGGGCATGCACTCCAATCTGCCATCTAAGGAAGCTCCCTGCCTGGCCAACACTTGGGCTGTTTGGAGACTTTCAGGGATGGGGCTTTCACTGTGCTTTGTGAGTCAGTCGATTACTTTTTGGGGATATCAGTAGTTATTAGCAACTTCTTCAGTACATAGAGTACAAACGTAAACCCATGAAAATTCCATCTATCATCCTTGTTTGTCATTCATTTATTCAGTATCTACTGAGTGTCTCTATGGCAGGCAGCAGTGTCCATAAAGAGCTTATCATCTAAAGAGGAAGATAAATGTAAACAGGCAATTATAAGATAAAATGACAAGAAATATGGTAGGATAAACTTAGAATACCCAGCCTGGCCTTGACGACTGGGGGTAGGCTTTTGGAGGAGGTGACATCAGCATACACCTGGAAGACAAATAAGAGAGGAGGGGGAAAGTTCTCAGCAAAATCTGGAGGTAAGAGAACAAGAAGTGTTCAGGGTTTGCTGTGCAAGTGGTTTGGTAAAGCTGGCAATCTGGGAGACGTGATGCTAGAGAGCTAAGCAGGGGCTGGGTTTTACAAGCAATGCTAAGGAATTTAGAGTTTATCCTGAAGGCAATGCAGAAGCATTACAGGCTTTGAAGCAGAGGTGCGGTGTGATCAGATTTACAATTTAAACAGCTTATTGAGGCTCTCTGAGAAAGGATTAGCAGGGCAAGACTGGACAGGCTGGCAGTCGGGTTAGGAGGCTATCACATTTATCCAGGCAAGGGTGCAAGGTGGTCTGGGCAAGGAAGATGGAGGAAGTGTAAAACTGTAGCAACGCTGGAGTTGTAGAATCAATAGGATTTGGTTACAGAACAAATCTGGTCCTCCTTCTACCTGACAGCCCTTCAAGTATCTATAGAGAATCACGTCTGAATGCACTTGAAATAAAACTGTCAAGAAAACAGCAGGTCTCCTGTTCTAAGCTTTGTTTAAGTAAACTATGTCACCCCTCTGATTTAGCAATGGAAAAGAGAGATGTTAATGGTGTTAAGCGGTGGTCACTGGAGTTTGACTTACTTATGAAGTAAAAAGCATTGCAGAGGTCGATTCAGAAGGCTTGCTAGTAAAATCAGCTGTTTCCCAGCCCGGACTAAGCATGAGAACAAAGGGATGCCCTCGGACCTCTCCCTGCAATCAGTCACCTTTGCAGAGCTGCTGCCTGGCAGAGGATCGGGACCACAGTAGGCACTATGGCAATAGGACCATTTTTAAAGAATGGATATGGGGTAATTTCTGAAAGAATGGTAGTCACTAAAAACTCCTTGAGCTCTAATACAGTTTACAAATAATGAGGAAAAAATGCAAAGGTGACCATCCAATCCTGCTTGTACTCTAGCTCCTGGAGAACAGTTGGTTTGGATTTTGGACAGGGCATTAGTCCAATCACTAGAGGAGATAGAGGCAGAACAGACCATAAGGTCGAGCAATCCAGAATGGTGGGGACTAGACGCCTGGGTCAGGAATAAGTAAGCCTCCCTTCCATGGGGTGCACCATCCCCACGAGAACTGTGAGTTATGTGGAGCCTTGAGGACCCAGGACCAAGTCATAATCAAGTGGCCAATTAGTGCATAGTGCTAGGAGATGGGGAAAGTAAAAAAGAAGTCACAATTTGACCAGAGAAAACTTTTCTTCATTGAAGGTACAAGATAAACAGGAATGAAAGAATCTTGTAATAATACAAGACATTATAGCTTTGTATTGGATTATACAAAACCAATAATGATATTTAGGGACAGGAAAGATGAGATAAGTGCAGGCCAGAGTTAGAAAAGAGGTGGCTTTGCTGAATAGCAGGAAAAAAAAAAATCTTTCATAAAAGCCAATAAAAGTTGAGTAATGCTAATTTTATACAATTTAGAAATCACACCTAACAAGAAAATACCTCTAGTCCCATTACCCAGAGAATATGACAACATTTTGAGGTACACACCATCTAGTATTTTCCTATATATTTTTTAAATTTTCCTAAAGCAGATCACATTGTAACCAATTTCTTAGTAGGTGCCTGTCTTCCCACATTATTAAGTTTTCTTCCATCACCTCAATATGAATAACCACACAACGTCCCATTGCAAAAAGATACAAAAGCTTATTCAGTCAGTCCTTGTTGCACCTTTATAGTAATGTATTAGGAGTATTGCTGAATGACCAAGAGGAGAGTAGGTAGGGTGGGTGTGGAGACGGTCAGAATGAGGAGACAGTTTGGTGTCACCTCTCCGCAGGTGCTGAAGAGATCCTGACTTGAGACCAGGGTACAGGGTACAGGATGGAAGTGATGAGGCTGGCCAACAGGAATGTCAGAGGTAGGATGATTTCTTAGAAGTCATCTTGCTTCACATTACTGCTTAGCCTAACCTCACTCTAAAGCATGCTAGACAGAGAGGTTCCCCACCCCAACTTCATATTTGGGAGCCCTCTGCTGCCCAAGACCACCCATGACTTGAGCAGTTCAGCATGGCTGGCATGGTCCAATGGTTGAGTGTTGAGCTATGAACCAGGAGGTCACAGTTTGATTCTGGGTTGCAGGCTTACTCCCCACTGTGGGGCATGCAGGAGGCAGCCAATCAATGATTCTCTCTCATCATTAATGTTTCTATCTCTCTTCCTCTCCCTTCCTCTTGAAATCAATAAAAATATTTTAAAAAATAAAAATGTAAGAATGGACTTGCTGGGTCATAGGGATGTATATGTTTAGCCTTAATAGATATTACCAGAGTTCCACAAGTGGCATAAGCAGGAGCTCTTATCAATTTGTGCTCCTGCCAGCAATGTATGATAGTTCCAATTTAGTGCAAATATTTTTCACTTTTAATTTGTATATAATTTCATGATTATAAAAATGTCCTCTAAACATTTATTGCTATTCTCTAATTGCTAAAATTTTGCCACACACACACACACACAAACACGCATTTTTCTGAACTATTTATGCTCTTTATTACTAAATACTTCAGTGTGTACTTTCTAAGGACTTTTTCTTTTATACCCACAATGATCAAAATCAGGAAATGTAGCATTAATACAAAATTATCTGATCCACAATCCATATTCAGATTTCACCAACTGTTCCAATAATGTACTATTTTGTAGCTATTTTCCCTGCTAATCCAGCATCCAATACAGATCACACATTGCTCTTACATCTCTCTTTATTCTAGTTCAGGTCCTCAGCCTTCCTTTATCTTTCATGAACTTAATTATTTTTTAAAGATTACAGGCCAGTTATTTAGTAGAATGTCCTTCAATTTGTTTTGCTTCATGTCTTTTATAATTAGATTCAGGTTATGCAGTTTGGGTAGATGCACCATTGAAATGATGTTGAGTCCTTCTCAGAATATCACATCAGGTGGCACATGAGGTATTTGTCTCTTTATTGGTTTTGTTGGTTTTGATCAGCTGTTTATGGTTGTGTTCACCAGGTTAGCCCACTTTAGAATTACTAAGTTTCCTTTTGTAGTTAATAAGTAATTTGTAAGGAGGAACTTTCAGTTTATATAAATATCCTATTCTTCATCAAACATCCATAGAGAGATAGAAACATTAATGATGAGAGAGAATCATTGATCTGCTGCCTCCTGCACACCTCCTACTGGGGATCGAGCACGTGCCCTTGGCCGGAATCGAACCTGGGACCCTTCAGTCTGCAGGCTGACACTCCATCCATTGAGCCAAACCAGGTAGGGCATTGATAATTCTTGTCTACATAATTTGTTCCTATAACAGTTGCACAATGATGATATTCTAACTTCATTATTTCTTCTATATTTAGTAGTTGATAATCTGCTATAAGGAAAAGCTCTCCATTTTTCTTTATTTATTTACATTGGTATGAGGGCATAGATTCTTATTTTATTCTATGACTACTCTATGGTAATATTACCATTGTTACAGATTGCTTCAGATTTGACCAACAGGAGCCCCTTCTGATTCCTCCATTCTTTTGACATATCACCATTATCTTTTTAGCACTTCCTTGCTTTCTGGTACAACAGGATATTCTAGGCTCATTTTATACTTTCCCTCTCTCAGCACTGGAACCAGCCATTTCTCCAAGGAGCCCTGGTTCCTTTTAGTGGAAAT